AGTCGCGCCAATGCAACTCGTAACCGGGTTTCCTCAAGGCTGTGTCTAACAATAGATTTTTTGACCTAGTTCGAAGCCGAGCTGGCCGGCATCAATTCGGCGCTGGAGGGCCCGCATGGTCACGGTCTAAGCAAGTTTAGTTCGATTGTAGAGTTTGGTGGGCCCAATGTCCCGATTGATCTCGGCTTCGTTCTCGAATTGCACATCGGCGTCAGCACCACGGTGTAGCTCTGATGACTCGAAAATCACACGGGATCCTGGAGCGTTTTGCAATCGGGGAACAAGTTTCAGCAACAGCAGAAACTGCGAAAGATGATTAACTTGGAAATGCGAATCGAGTTTGTCTTTGGTCTCGTTGTAGACTCCCACACCAAGGCCGGCGTTGAGAACGAGCTGCCAGCAGTTGAGTTAGCACACGCATCCTGAAATATCTCGGTCGAGTGACTGTAAACTTACCCCGTCGAGCTTCTCTGAGGAACTCGCCAACTCATTGGCAACCTTCTCCGTGAACTTGAGATCTTCGAGGTCGCATTTCACCCAATGAGCCTTGCTGGCGTCCCCATAATCCTTTAGCGCTTCGAGTGCGGATTGAGCATGTTCCTCCTTGTTCGATAGGATTGTGGCACTTCCAGCATGATGCTGCAGCAGATGGGCAGCAATACCAAACCCAACGCCAGCACTACCCCCAGTGACAATATAGTTCTGGACCGGTGGTGTCACGGATGTGTTTCATTCTTGCTCAGAGAGTTGGGGCAATATCTACCTTGCCATACAAATCAGGGATATCCGTGTCTGGATTGAACTTGTTGCTTCCTAGGAGAGATGACATTCTGCGGCTTCGTTGTTTGCGAGCAAGAAGTACAGGATTGATTTTCGTGTTCCAGGCAATTCTACAGGATGCCTTCATCCAGGTGATCGAATGTAAACTTGAGAATTGAGACGACGCATGTCGATGAGTCCTGCAAGGTCTCGTGTCTGATCGTCAGCCACTATATACATTTGACACGTGGCCAGGGAGGGAAGTCATGATGACAGACCAAGACAGACTTAGGTCATGACTTTTGTTGATGGATACAACGTCCGACCGATGTCAGTTGCTGCAAATTGGACACAGCCCTCAGGTCTTGGCGGGTTGTGATGCGTAACGCTTTGTGGGGTGCTGGGCCAACCAGGCAGGTGAGCCCCAATTCCCCTAATTCAACTTCCAGGGAATACTCGAATACAAATTTCGAGCAGTTGTACGACATATATGGACCAGTACAGGTGCACCCTATTTATTGAGATAATTGAAAAGCGGAGGCAGCGCATTTCCCAACTGGACGCCAGCCAGCACTTTATGACCAAGCGGGCCCTCCCTTGCACGGGGCCATGAGCATAGAGCTGTTGGAATAGTTTACCTCGCACAAATTCTCAGCGGCATTGTGATGACGGCGGAGTCCACAATCCTCAGCTGGTATAGGATGATCCTGACAACCTCCTTGGGCGACGGAATTCCTCGCGAAGGCCCCGGTCATCATCCACAATGACCGGACGCTCTGCCAAGTTTGCCTCTAACTGTCGGAAATTAGACGGGCGTGTGCTTGGTTCCGGTGGCCCAAACAATGCTGTTGGAACGCCGCCGGCTGGGATCGGTCTCGATAATGGTAGCTCAGAGCCCAGAAGCTCAGAGCCCATGCTAGATCTTCCCGATGCAAGTACTTGGTCTGGAGGTCTTCCAGATCCATGTTGTCCGGGATTCGGTATTTCAACCACTGATGGAAGAGCCGAAAGATTCGCAGGGATTTCAGTGACAGGTGCGCGATCTGTGGCATCTGAAGATATTTCAGGAACTGGTACATGGCCCGAAGAAGGTCCCGAACAAGGGCCCCTTGGGGTGCTGCGGGTGGAAGGACGTGCCTGGGGGCTACCAGACGAACCAGAATCCCTTGATGTTATCGACTTGCCGGACGCAAAGGAGGGAACTCCGTTGTGATCTAAGACGGTTTCGAGCTCAGGGTGCGACGCAATGTGAGATTTGGCTAAACGAGATGCCAGCGCGAGGATTTCTTGACCAATTTGCAACATATGAGCCTGCTGGGATTGCACTCGTCTGCTCTCTTTCACGGCCCTTCTGCACCTCGAATCCAAAGTTTTGACCTGGCTTGTATACAGAAATCTGTTGGCAGTCAGCATTCACCATTTACTCAAAGATTTAATGAGGTTGGGCGACAGACAATTGCTGAAGCAGCTCGTTCGGGATATTTTTCTGCTCGGCATGTAGTTGGTCGAGCTTTTGAACAAGGTGCTGGCAAAATACAATCGATATGAGTAGATCGGCGCTCAGCTTGATAGAGTTGAGTTCAATTTGAACAGGGATCCATTCTTCCTTCCGCCCGGACCATTTCCAGCGAGCGATCCATCGCTTGTGAGCTGGGTAGACCTTGTCGGTTCTCATTGGCTCGACTTGAAGCAAAATTTGTTCGATCTTGTCCAAGGCTGCCCTCCCTGACGTGACGATATGTTGCGTCATTTTGGACGTTTTGATTTTTGTGGACAGGCCTTCGTCAGCCAAACGGTCGTCCGTCACAGTACTGTGAAACAGGCTGAGAAGGGTGCTAAATGCTTCGACTTCGTTGTGGATAACCTTGATATCACGCTTGGCGTACTCAAGGAACCGGATGCAGCGACGAAGCCTTCTGGAAATGTGAACGAACTCCACCGCGATAGCTAAAACAGCGGAAATCGCACCAACGATCTCCATAGTAGCAATGAGTCGGTCAGGATGGTATTATTGAGCCGTCGCAGAGAAGAGAGAAGAAGAAGAAGAAGAAGAAGAAGAAGAAGAAGAAGAAGAAGAAGAAGAAGAAGAAGAAGGCAAGAACAATGGAAGTCGACTTTTTGATTTTTGTCGTCAAGGGGTTCATCATGGACTATGCATGGTTCTTGCAGGGGTTAGTTGACATTTGTGCATAGCTACCAATCCAGAAAGAGAGACTCTTCCGTCACTTCATAACCGGTGAGTCCCGCAAGGATATTTTGGACAAGGAGTCAACCGGCATTCTCAACGGGCTTCCATTGGTCGCGGACCGGTCGCCTACTGCTTACCAAGTGACAATCATTGGGCCATCCTGTCCGTTTCAGATGCGAGAGACTGAAAGCGGCTGAGACTGATGAAGGAGCAACAGGAAAAATTGTTAGCACCACGACCGGCATTTACATTGAGATGAAGACCAGGGCAATTCGGACCACCAAAAGCTGTAGATGCAGAGGATGTACTGGTAGCAAGATCATCGTGATCCCTTTCCTACCACAACCCAGAATACAAATCGCGGCCTCATTGGCATGAGTTAGATAGTGTCCGCGCCCATAGTGTGGTGTTGTAAAAATGTAGATGAGGTGCCACCTTTGGCGGCATCACACCCAACCGCGTGAAAGAACGGAGTTCTCTAACACCTCGAGACTTGGGCGATCGAGGATAAGAGTATACCTGATACACTCATCCGCCTCGTTTCTAAATATGCCTGTTTCCATGGGACGTTCAACACAAGGCAGCTATACAGAGCATATAGCGAGAGGATAAATAACGCCGCCTAGTTGGACATCAAGTATGCTTTTGCCTATTCTGGATTGAGGTTGCATGCGAAGATAAAGTTAGAATTTGCCGTGAAAACGAGCTTCTCGGTGATGACGTGCCACATGAGTTTGAACCCGCCACGCTTTCAGGCTCTCGGTTAGTCCTGCGTCGGAACTCACGTTGCTGGCTATAACCAATGTTGACTGTATGGAACAGGGTAAAGTTTGTTTGTACTGAAGGAGATGCTCACACCGCCACTAACCATTGAACCCGTGACTGAAGACCTAGTAAGACTCATATCAAATATATTTTCACCGCTTGTTCCTAGCGCAGGTCAGATCAGGGGGTTGAAGCGTCCCAGAACTCGACTTTGATGGTGGTTGAGGGTAAATGTACCATGGAACGGATCGGCGTCCACCCTCTGCTCAAAGGTAACACCCAAAGGCTTTTGTGGCGTGTCAGAATCAGAACGGAATTTTGATTGTATCTGCCTCGAGTATGACGGGTTTCCAAGTGTTCATTCAATTGTACCATCGCTGGGCCACATTTTGGAGCCATATATCACTGACTCCGAGGGTTGGATCCAGGATAGAGTCGTGATTAACGCCCTTCATTATTTTCGGGTTGAATGTAACTGTAGATGGCGAAATTGCACTTGCCCAACAGTCATCAAAGTGCTTTGATCCACTGGTGCCAATCATGATGTCCTTTTCGGAATGCAGCACGTCGATCTGAAGCTTCCCAGAGTCGACAGTGCTGTGTAGGCGGTTTTCCTGATCGACGATCGCAGCGGCAAGAGTTCGATGGTCAAGCCAGTCCTTGCCTTGTACAGTCCCCATATCTCCGGCCGCAGTTGTTGGCTGTATGTGCTTTCGCAGAAATAGAAGTGCATCGTCTGAAGAGCCTTCGATATTTTCAGCGAACATGTATTTTTGGACCAACTCCCCCATTTCCGTCAGAAGAGCTTTCTCCACGGATTGCTCGCTGTTCTGTCGTTCATCACTCTCCCCAGTCTTGGACACCGCAACAGTGGCAAATTTGCTGGAAGGTCCCCGGCGCACTCCTGAGCTGAATGCAAATGTACGATTAATGGCTTTCGCGCAAGAAGGAAAGCTGCCAATTGCCCCAAGCGGTAGTATCGCAGCCGCCCGCATCAAAGGAGCACCTCCATCTTTGGGTGGAACCCATGGGGCAAGTAAGACGATATGAGGTCTTTTTGGATGCAGCAAGCCGCGATGCGCCAGAAGCGTGGCCAACAGATAGGGTGCGCCTCCAGAATGGGATGCTAGCGTGACATGTCTGACACCCAAGTGACTTAGTAGAGCGGGGACAGCGGCGACCTGCGCTGCTACACGCTGGTCTATAGGAACCGGCGTCGAGCCACCAAGACCTGGTCTATCCATGGCGAGGATGCGGATTTTGAGACGTCGAGCAATGTTGGCTGAGCGACAGAGCGTATAACGGCCACCTAGGAGACCACCGATGAAAAAGACGACACAGTGATCTGATTCGTCTTCTCCATCACTGCCGTCAGCCGAGAGATTGCGGGGGTTTTCTGGATGATATCCAAGGTCTGAGTAGGTGATGCGTAGATCCCGCCCAGCATTGGGAAATACAGAGGCAGGCAGAATGAATGATCTGTGGAGAGAGATATCGCACAGTGTTTCAATCGCGAGGGTGCGAACATGGTCGATCATTGTCTCTTCAACTTGAATAGTGCGGACATGCAAATCACAAGGTTGTCAACAGTCCTAAGGCCAGCGCTTGATATCGGAGTACCAGGGGCTGTTATTTATCTGCGCACAGGGTTGGTGCCTGAATGAAGCAAAACAGTTGACTGGGCTGGTTGGACGCCACCTTCAAAATGCGGGTGCCTGGTTGGTACTGGGTAGTGATGGATGTGGCGGACGGGCGATTGGGCAAGTTGGCCCGGATCGTCGTCCTTCCCCCTTTCCCCCTTTTAGACGAGGCTGAGTCTAATATATTCCTTAGCCTCGCTAGCCCCGATTTGGAGAAAAGTTGAAGCCACCTCTCGCCTCGACTTTTTGCGGAGTCAAGAGGCATGCGCGAGCCACTCCCACTCTGCGCCAATTGTTCCTTTCCTTATTCACTCGTCGCTCGTTGCCCTTGAGCGCTTTTCCCTCTGGATTATTGTCGTTGATCAATAGGGCTTCTGCACTAGTCGAGAATCGACAACTCGGACAGTTGACAGCGCAGCCCAAAGCGGCTTGCGCACTCAGATCAAGTCACCATGTCCTCCGAATACAACTACGATGATCAGGGTCAATTTTTCCCATTCTTTATGCTGACCATGGCCGGCTTGATCACCGTACCTCTCACTTACAACGTCCTCAAACCATCTACAGATCTCGAGCAGACCGCATCCCGAGTGAAATCAGACTTCAAACCCAAAAATGTTGATCTTATCGACATGCAGAGGAGAAGACGTAAGAGGCAGAATCGCAAGACAAAAAGAATGATAGCGGTTGTTGCGGGATATGCCTTCATGGCTTACATGATATACCTGATCATTGTCACTCAGAGAACGGTGCCTAAGATGTGGGATCCGTACGATATCTTGGGCGTGTCGAGGGTTTGTGAATGGACACGGTTCTACACTAGATGCTAACGATTGGGCAGAGCGCATCGGAGCGGGACATCGACAAATTTTACAAGAGACTGTCGCTCAAATTCCACCCTGACAAAGCAAAACCCGATACCTCCAAGAATGAGACCATGGACGATGTCAACAATCGATGGGTAGAAATGACAAAGGCCTACAAGGCATTAACAGACGAAGAGATCAGAAACAACTATCTGCAGTATGGCAATCCTGATGGGAAGCAGTCCACGAGTATCGGCATTGCATTGCCCAAGTGGATGGTGGAGGAGGGCAATCGCTGGTTTGTGGTGGCCTTCTATGGCATCCTTCTTGGAATCATCCTGCCTTACACGCTAGGGAAGTGGTGGTACGGAACGCAGGCGCTTACAAAAGATAAAGTCCTCCATGCCAGTGCTGGCGATTTATTCCGAGAGTGGAAAGAAGACTTATCGGAAGGCGACGTTGTGGCTGCCACCAGTATCGGCCAAGAATTCAAGGAAAACCTGAAAGGCCCTCGAAGTGATGCGGGAGCCGCAAAGGTGGAAAGCAAAGTCCTCAATAGCTCCGCTCTCACCGAAACGGACAAGGAACGATTGAAGTCCATCGACGACCCTGTGCGGCGGAAAACGCTAGCCCTGCTCTGGGCATACCTGGCTCGGATCGACCTGGAGGACCAAGAACTTGAGAAAGAGAAATTCGACGTCGCGCCTACAGCTCTCCTAATGAACAATTCCTTCACTTCAATCACCCTACCATTTGGCGTGGTGAAGCCACTCCTAGCAACCTACCACACCTCTCAGAATATCATTCAAGCTGTTCCGCCATCTGCATCAGCCATCCTCCAGCTCCCGAACTTCACTCCTGCAATCGCCGAGAGGATTGCGAAATCTTCCAAGACACCAATGACATTTCAGAAGTTCATGTCCCTCCCACCTGTAGCGCGAAGACAATTGTGCTCGGACCTCTCGGACGAGCAGTATAAGCAAGCAATGGCGGTCTCCGCTCAAATCCCCCACCTTGTCATCGCAAAAGCGTTCTTCAAAGTGGTCGGCGAACGAGTTGTGACGCCCGGCTCACTCGTGCAACTTGTCATCAAAGCCCGCGTTATCCCTCCCGGTACACCAGCAAAGGATATCCCACCAATTAACCCCCTGGATCTTGAGGACATTGACCCGGATGAAGGGGATGTAGACGCCCTGCGCGGTCGAAAACCAGCGAAGTCGAAGAGAAGGAAACTTCCAGATGGCTCGTACGTTGAAGATGATGCCAAAGAAGGGAGTGTACAACCACCTTTGGCACATGCGCCCTATTTCGCAGCGGATCATGCTCCCAGATGGCATGTCTTCCTCGCAGAAGCACGTACCGGCCGCATATCTGTACCCCCCTTCACATTTACCAGTTTCGATCGACCCATCTTCCATTCCGACAGTGGCAAACCAACTTTTAACGTCGTCACGCTGAAGTTCTCATTCCAGGCACCCCCACAGGTCCATGCCTTTCCGTTTGTCATGCACTTAGTGTGTGATAGTTATATAGGTCTAGACGAGAAGGTAGACGTGGTATTAGATGTGAGAGACGTCAAGGAAGCCGAGGTGGTGGAGAGTGATGAAGATATCAGTGAGCCTGAAGAAGGTATGCATCCAACCCCCCCCCCCCCCCCCACACACACACAAACTGAACTTATATCTCAATAACAACCTGTCCACATCACAACGGAACACACAAAGGTCGATACTAACAATTTTTTTTTGACCACAGATTCTTTGGCGGGCCAACTCCAAGCCATGAAATCTGGCGGTCTGACGGGCTCCCCTGTGAAATCGAGGAAGAAAAAGAAGACGTTGGCGACGACGGCCGATGCGAAAGCGGTCCCCGTGGCCCAAACACAGGGCAATGAGTTTGAAGAGGCAAGCGATGACGATGACAGCGACACCGAGGGCGACGATGACAGTGACTCCTCCGAGACCGACACCGAGACAGAGGATGAGGATTCATGAACAGGGGAAACACAATCAAAATTGTTCATGGGAATTCTATGTTGCGATTGCGTTGCATTGCTCTACTCGACATGCCATTCCTCAGACCCCCTAAGGGAAGTCGAACACTCGGGACGACTTGCTTGTATGCCTGTGTGACAACTTAGCTTACTTGCCTGCCTACTTGTCCTTTGGCATCCTGGAAAGCCCGAGGACAAGGGGGCACGCGGCGTTCGTTGTCTTCGATCGGTCCGGTATGAATGAATCCATTCATACAACGCGGGAGGGCGAATGAGACATTAGTCGAGTTCCTGTATCTTTTTGGGTCTGGGTCCGTGTCTACCGGGGTATGTAACGCGCCGTATGAGGGCGTGATAGAGTGAAGCGGGCGGGTGAGCAAGCAAACGAGCAAACAAGCAATCACTCAGCGACCAAGCCCTGTTCAATTCGTGACAGGCCCCATATTGTCGACGTTTTTGATGTGACCTTGTCTTGAATTGACTTGAACTTCGCGGTTCAAAATTATGCTACATTGCTGATGAATGTTCTATGGACGTAGCAGCAGCTCCTCCGACTCGATAACAGTCCTAACACTCGGGTCGAACGCTCTCCAGCTTCCTGGTACATACACAACATACTCGGCCCCCCATCCCCGACTTGGTTGTATTTGCTATGGGATAGATGCCCCCTCAATCATCACATTCCGACATTCCGCTAGTCTTGTATCCCTGCCCCTTCTTCCTTCTTCCTTAATTCTACTTCTTCCCTGTCACGGTATTCGCCATCTGATTCATGCGCTCCTGGATCTTCTCCCTGCCATCATGCATGTACTGGAGAGTTCTCTTGTACTGGCGGTCCTGGGATTGGAAGGACAGTTGGGTCACAGCCAATGCGCCGACACCCAGAATGGCGCCGACGCCGAGAATTGTGCGGGTCTGCATTATTGCGGCTTGTTGTTGTTTTATGAGGTGGGGTCGAAGAGCTATCCCAGGGGTTGTTATAGGCGTTGATGGGCTGGTAGGCGGGAGTCTGTCGTTTTTGGTTGCAGGAGCGTAGATGGGTTTGACTGCGGCCCGTGCAAGTGTGCACGTCTGGTAGAAGTCAAGGCTCGTCGTGCACAGTTGTAAAGCAAGTCGGGGTGAGAACTCGGCAATGTCTTCGCTCAAACTCTGGTAGAGGCGAGGGCGACGAGTTGGTGCGGTGAAGTATCAATCGCCGGAACGCCTAATCAAAGGGCGGGTTTTGCAGACTAAATGAAGAGTGGAGAGTTAGAGAGTAGCATATAGGGGAGAAAAGAAGATGTTGTCTCGGCGATGGGTGATGGGAAGGAGGTGAAGATGGAATTGAACCGGAGTTGGTGCGCCGGTTATTATACTCGTACCAAGTAACTGCATTGTCCCCCATTGCCACCAGCAAATGGCACCTTCCCTCCTGTCCAAGGGCCTTCACATGAAACGTTTTGCAGTTACCGGTGTGCCGGAGACTTTGTTTTGGGCGGCAGGCAGCGAGGTTGGCGAGTGCCAGGGTCACCAAGGGCCCCTGGGCTTCCCCGCACCTGCTGATTGTCCCCAAGTCCCCCCAAGGTCCTTATCCTCCACAAGCCGCTTGGCCTAGAGAGGCTTAGGCGCCACGGCTAGCATTGGCACGAGCTAATTCCCCTCATTTGATTTGCTAAGTCGCCCTTCGGGCTTCGGCAATATTCGGACTTTGTGGATGCAGGTACGTCGCAGAGCTCCCAAAGTCGGAGGTCAAGAGCTCATAAAGCTACCTGCAGACCAAAACAACCTTCATAAAATGCATTAGGGGTCTTGTGCTTCTTCTGAGGATGCGCTCTAGCACACGCTGTTAACGCCCGCCAGCCTTGTACAGTTCTGACCATTGTCTCTCTATATCCCTGTCGTCATGGAGATTGTGTGCCAGTGGAAGTGAGGAGGGTTATCTAGCTCCTCCCTCCGAGTTTGTTGAAAGACACGGTCCGGCCAAAGCATATCTCTCGCTCAACATCTTCCAATTTTGGTCCTCAGCCTTCTGCATCAACAAACACATCGACTTCGCTAGTGTCAGTGTCGGCCCTCCTCAGCGGCTTCTTGCCCTCCGGCACCATTGCTGCATGGATGTTCATTTTCGAGATTTGATTGTTCATGTGTGACAAGTCATTGTCATCATCCATCAAATTTGCCGTCTTTTGTTGTGCGGTCTGTTGCGGTTGTGAGATGTGCTGTGTGGCATGGTTCTCCGGCGGTGCTGTGCTTGGTGGCCGTGAATCGAAATCGATCAGGTTGTCCGAGGCGTGCAGGTGAACATGGTCAGAATGCCCCGCTGCTGCGTGAGATTCGTCTGTGTGATGAGGATGATGATGATGAGAGTAACGCCTCGTGTCTTGTTCAGAAATTTCAACTTGGCCAGGAAGTATAGGAGCTATCGAGAGAATCCGCTCCACTAGTTCTTGTGGACCGATCTTTGGATCCCTGACGAGATCTGTTAGTCAATAACAAGAGCAGAGCAGGGTGAAGTCTCACAGGTGAGCATTTATAATCCACTCCAGATCTTCCTCGCCTTCTTCGCAGCCTCCGGGTCGAGAATCCACTCTTCGGAACAGTTTGGGTTTCCACTCAACACCCAATTCTTCTCTCCGTTTAGCCTCTTCTCTCTGGCGATCTTCGATTTTTGCTTTTTCGGTTGTAGCAGCTTCATGGTCTCTCACATGCACTGCCTGTACTGTCGACTTCCAAAGCTTTTGGGATTCGCGTTCTCCCTGTTCTTCGAGTGGCCGTGTCAAAGGTGGAGCGTGTTTGGCATGGGTGGCATCAAAAAGCGTCTTTTTTTGTCCAGTCTTGGTGTCCTTGATGATCATCTCTCCGGACCAAAATCCTGACAGTTCATAAAGAACTTCCCCCGTCCGCTCGTTTCTGATGGACCCTCCAATGGCATTGTAGGTACCTCCGACCCAGCCCTTGGTTTTGAATTCGATGTCCGCCGCCAGCCCAGTTTCTGGACATCGGACGTAGGAATGGTCGCCCAATTCGTACTTCATCTTGCCGAAAAGAATTCCCCGGGCATACATATTGGGTTGTGTTAGGATGCTGCAGCAGTTAGAAGCGCCTCTGGCGCGATTGGACAGTTCAAACATACTACTTTTCACCACCCTTGGTCTTTCCTCTGTTTGTAAATCTCAAATACGATATGCCTTCCATCATGCTAGCGGCCGAATTGCCCAGGAACTTGCTACGTGGTTTCAAAGTACCATCAACGCGAATATGGTGGTGCGGTGCCATGAAGAAATACGACGACTTGGGCGGATGGTGCGACGTCTGCTCAGCGATGTAGTAGCCTCGTGTCTTGTCCGGATATTCCCACCAGCAAGTAAATGTCTCCCCAAGAATTGGATTCAAGGGCTTCTTGACACCACTAGGAAATAATCAGCATCCTCTGTCTAATTTGGCATTGGGCGGTATCGTACGCAGGTCTGATGTGCCACCCACTAAGGTAAAATCTGACCACCGAGACAAATCGTTCGATCGGGTCGTCAATTAAGGGCATCCCGAGCAGTGTATCAGGATGGGCCATGAAACTGTGGGCACCCGTGAGCTCTGAACCGGCCATGTCTATTTCTTCAGAGAACATCTTACTTCGTTATTCTTTCCAGCATCGATCTTTCTTCGAGGATAAAGGTCGGGAGGGTAATTCTGGACAGATCGGCCCCGGGGCGCAATTGTGCAATGATGTGTAAAAGGACTATTTTGGGTGGTCAGCACCGGCTTCCGTTCAGGTCTTGAAGGGTAGACCCTACTGTTTCCCTGCTCGGGCTCGATCACCATAGTATCCTCATCGGTGGCTTCTCGTTGATCCTCTGAGGAAGAGCGAGCGCCTAGATTTTCGAGTCAGCCTAACAAAATGCCCGCACATCGAGGGGCTCAGTATACTTTTCGACTCGCTGCGATTCCGCAGCGCTCCTCCCAACGAGTGCTTCATTTTGTCCATTGTGCACCCTCATTCACCAGCGAGGTCTCTGTCTGTGGAAGGGGTGCGGTTGGTAGAGCGAGGAATTGGTTGGGTTGTTATATGACGTCGTCGGGGGGTCGGATCTGGCGGGGCGAGAGGGCAGTCGGTCTCTTGCTTGACAGATACGAATAGCTTTGGAAGCCACACAGTCCAATGCTAAACTGAGGCAGTGGAGGAGACAGAGTGAAGAGGTCAGTGACAACCGGGCCAGGGATTTCGGTGGCACAGCTGGCAGAATGAGCAGAGGATCTGAAAAAGAAGCCTTGTTTTCCGTTCCGATGGGAATTTGCAGTTTCTAGTTTCTAACTGCGCATGCGAACCATTCACCACTGGACAAGGCACCGCTTGGTGCAGCGGGTTGGTGAGCACAAGTGGAGACACTGGTGACCTGTGAGTGACCAAGAGTGACCTGGACAAAAGCAAAAATGCTGCGTCATCCCGCGTGCTGCAGAAAAAGGGAACAGCGCACATTTCGCACACCGCGATCCGGCCACAAATATTTCCGAGTTCCCGTCTTGAGCAAAACTTCGGGTTGGGACCTCATATCTATGGCTTCTAATAATGAACAGGCTGGGCTCCCGGTATTCTATCCTTTCCCACTACTTTATTCTATGTTCGCGAATGGGTTCCTCGCAGCCAACGGAATGCGATGGACTGAACAGCCAAGCTACACAGAGTCCGCTCTCGTTGATTTAGCTCGTCGTTGCCATCCAGCTTTCGCATGTAGGCCGATCTCCCTGCGTAACAACATCAACAAGTACCTCTGGGGGTTTATAAAGCATGACATGGAAGTGTTCTGTGGGACTCATGAATTAGGCACAATCACTCATAATCATCACCTCATTCTCGACTGTTTCCTCACCCTCGCTCTCGGGATAATTTCAACTTACCTAACGCATGCACACTCTTCAAGCTCTTCCAGTTCTTAAACCATACAATCTTCTCCCTCTCCATCTTCTTCCCAGCTTCCCCCTCACAAAACGTCCTTCGGATGAACTCGTCAATCTGCCTCTCCGCCTCCCGAGTCACCTCTCCCGTCTCTTCGTCCTCGTCGATCTGAAATTTCGTCCATACAACAAGATGTTTGATCCCCTCCTCGACAAAGTAAGGCCAGTCGTTGTATAAAATCTTATAATCGGAAGGGTTGCTGAACGGTGCGTCCCCGCTAGGGGTGATGGTGGGCCAACCGAGACGATGTTGTTGGATGTATGAGAGAACAGAGCCGTAAGTCTTCTTGAGATGGTACGTGTAAGCAAGGTAACCACGGAGTTGGCTTGAGGGCCGATGGAAGTGGTGGATATTGTTTGTCCCTTACGCAACAGGAAGTGTTAGATGTCATGATCGTAGCCGGGCCTGTCTTCATCCAGCTTTATAAACCCCTCCATCCAATATGTTTGCCGTGGTTGGAACTTCACGGCCGTCTTCCCACTGTAATCATAACCGCTTCCGTGCTCATGACAGGGCAGACTTACGAACTAGTTCCTCGACCTGTTGCCAAGTATATCTCTTAAAATCTTCGTCTTTGCGGCTCAGGATCCCAATGTTCTTCTCGCTCTGGCCGAGCAAATAAGGCGGACACTCCTCCGTCCATTGCTCCTTCGGAACATTGATATTCCACCAAAGTTTTGATAGATCGAGCACTTTTCCCGGGGCTGGCGTATTCTCCCGTGGCGTGGGATGGACTGAATGCGGCATTTCCTCCACAATCTGAATCTGATCCACCACTCTTCAAAAATGTACTTGGTAACGTGTATTCTTTTGCAAATATGCAAAGTTGGATCTGGGACACGAGGCGTAGACAAGAAAATGCTACGGAAGAGTGTAACATTGATCGCGGGACTAATGGCTGCGCATGATTGGCCGACTTACATCGTTTTAAAAGATCTCTCCGTCCTCAGATCGTCCCCAACCGGTGGTTTGAATCTATTCGATTATGGATGTCGACCATGGCCGAATCATGGATGCCAGTTATTGTAATTGCGGTGCACCTATGCGCTTAATGGGAAGAGCATGTTTGCAATCGAATGACTCGTGAGGGACACGACCTCCTCTTTTCAATAGGACAACACAAGAGTGGAATCATCCAGATGTCGGTTTTTGCGTCCCCGCCTCCATCAGATAACATCCCAGTTCGTCCACCCCGGAGACTCTTGTGGATTGTGCTCTCTCATGTGCTGGACGACGTCCTTCAAGCCCTTAGACCCGCTCCCCCTGGCACATACGAACGGCAGGAGATAGTTGGCTTCTGCGAGTCATACCATGTATATCTTGGCCACGGATTGCCTCGGGGATTAGCAGGTATACGAGTTCCGTGCCTGGGTGAAGACACGGAGGCCCGCGAGGCGGGCAAGTTGTGATACTGACGGGTTATTCTCCTGAGCCTTGACGCTAGCCCGAGTGCTTGAGAATGTCGTCAAATCAATAAATTTATATACCGAGGAGACTAGCAAACGCCAGCACACGTTGAAGAGATTGATTCATTCCGAATGCAGCTCGTTATCTGACCAGATTAGCATGTGAAGACATCAGAACTGAGCATCATACTGTTTTCACACTGTCGTCTTGGGATTGATGTGACTTGATGGACTTCAAGGGCCGAGAACACGCCGAACCTCGTCACTGTCAATGCTGACCACATCCACAGAGCCTTGTGCTAAAGCACCCTTGACATCGGACCACGTGCTGGGGTCCACACATCTTTGGGCTTCTTCTATCACATATGTGGTGAAGCCGGCCTTTGCCGATCCAAGAGCGGTGTCTTTGACACAATAGTCTCCAGCCAGGCCAACAACATAGACGTGGGATACATGCTCAGCAGCCAGTTCTTGGGCAAGGTCATGACTTACACCTCCAGCACCAAAGGTCAGGTTACCAAAGGAGTCCGAGAAGGCAGAGTACATTTCCACCCGGGAGTCCTGGCCCTTTTGGACGGTGAAGCGTACATTGGAGACGTCAAGTTCTGGAATGATCTCCGCCCCTTTGGTACCCTGAACACAGTGGATGGGCCACAATCTTTGCTGCATTGTCTCGTTCGGGTTGTTGCCAACGAGGTTGCGCACTGTGACAAAAGACTCAAAGGGTGTGTTGTTTGGAGCAGGATGATTCGCCGCAAAAGAAATATGGTTAGCTGGATGCCAGTCTTGGGTTGCCACTTTCAAGACGAAGTGTGGTGAATCAAGGAGCCTGTTGATCAGTGACACAATGTCCCGGCCTCCTGAGACCGCAAGCGAACCATCCTATGCTTGTTAGCGTTAAGGATGAGTACAGAGGTATCGCAGAGGCTGTCCGTACAGGAGGACAAAAGTCGTTTTGCATATCAACTACAATGAGGGCGGGTCTAAAAGCCATGGTGGTAGGCAAACGGAGGCAGATCAACGATGTAGATAAGGGTGTCTCAATGTGCGAGAGGCTTGCAAGAACTATCTCTTAAGGAAGAAAGATGAAGTGGTTCTAAAGTGCCCAGCGAAGCTCTCTCACAGGGAAGGTTTTTTGGATGAAATGCCTGTTTGACAGGTTGAAGGTATTCAGAGTTGAGGCAGTTGGGGGCAGTTGAGGGTTAAGTCGCTGGAACTCGGAGGGAAGTTCATCACTGGGGCAGAGCCGCTGAACAAGGGAGCCAATGACTACAGGAGGCACGATGGTTAAGTGTGAGTCCTCTCGCCCTGGGCCCCCTCGCCCCTTAGCCTACTGCCCTGGCGCCACCCCAAGCAGGGTGCCACCGCCCACCACCTAGTGGCTCACCAGGTCAAGCCAAGCCTTAGTTTGCGGGCGACGGGGTCATCTCTTCACTTGCTCTTGTGAACTTGCCATCATGCCTTATTCACCACCTCACATTCCATCACATTAGATCAGCCTCACATTGTTTTGCAGTTCTTGGAATTTACTTGAAGAAGATTCTGGGATTCCTTAGACGTCCTGCAAATGTCTAGTGACAGGTGAACTGCACTGAGAATCCGACCTCGTCAGCCTAGCGGCTCTGTCACTCTTGCTTAACTTCACGGTTGTCGACACTTCGTCCTCATTACTCCGACATCTACGTTCGACACCTTCAAGTTTCAGGGACCGGCGCATTGATAGGCTTGAAGGCCAGACAAAGCTCGAACGGTATCACGCTCATCGCCGCCGCATCATGTCCAAAACTTCGGTAGTACGTATCTAGTGATCTTCCCTGCCGGGCTCAGCCTCTCTACTTGCCTGGACAAAGAACCTCACTTTGTCAAGCGCAGTCCCTGTTGTCTCCATCACAGGCTAACCATGTCACCTGAACCAGGGCGATGTCTATGCGAAAGTCATAAATGATGTCTGCGAGGCGTCACGGCAAGACTTCGAGGAAGGCGGTGTTGAGCTGGCGACTCTTGAACTGCTGAAATCGGTAAGTCCATTTCCTACCATCAAATGCGCATGATCATGTATTGCATCCATTGCCAAAGATTGTCCTCATCGACCTCAGCATATTGTGCCAAAGAAGAGATACATCGGCGAAGACGAAGATAAGGAATCCATTCGCGTTGGCAAGGGACTGCGGGATTGTCGCAGGCAGACGGCAGGGCACTGAGGGCGAGTGAGGGCGAGTGAGGGCGAGCGAGGGCGAAGGCGGCGGGCGAGGCGGGGATCGGAAGGTTCTTGAGGGCACCCCCTTCCCTGACTCATAGCCTCTTTTTATACGCCCTGAACGCCACCGCTGCGCCTGCGAACCACCATCAGCCCACCCACTTGTTTTCCACTATTCCACTTTTGGTTTTCGCCACAACGCCCGTCTCTATTTTAGCGCGGCGCTGTGGTTGGTATACTGACGAAGTCCCTCTGCAGGAATGGCAGAAGAAGCTCTCTGGTCTCAAGGTCGCGCAGCTTCCATGGGATCCTCCTCCAGCCCCTGCCATCAAGGAGCAGAGCGTCGTTCCCAGCAGCGCGAAGCCGACCCCTCAAACTCTCCCGAGTAATGGAACCACTGTCAGCACTCCACCATCTCAACAGGCCGCTCCTCCAGCGCCTCAGATCAAGGCCGAAAATAGTGCTCCCTCCTTTCCGGCTCAGCAAGCCCCCCCTCCTCCTCAGCCTTATCAGGCTCCTTCATTCCAACAGGGCCAACCCTTGACAGCTCGCGATCGAGCGATCATGAATCTTCACCAGAGTTTTGGTCAACGAGCAGGCCCTCAGATTGCGCAACTTCAATCCGGCAACCCACCTCGTGCACCCATGCAACAATCCACCGCTCCTTCAAGCAACTACATCAAGCAGGAAGAGGCTAACTCTGGGTTCGCCGACATTCAGGACTATACCGCTGACATCAAACCTCAACCCCAAGCTGCCGTTAATGCAAGTCAAACCGATGGATCGTGCGATACTCGTGATGGTTGGGAAACCGAATATGCTCGACGAAAAGCATTCGCCGCTGCACGTGGTGCTGAAGGGGATGGTCTGATGCGTGCCCATTTCCAGACCAAGCAGCAAGAACTCGAAGGTGGTGGTCTTCTGATGGCACTCGATGAACGCAATACCCCAAACAGAGCCATGGCTCGAAACCTAAAGACCCTTTTCGCATCAGAGGGCAGCACCAACAACACAAGCATCGGCCGCGCACAAGGCGACGCGACAGGTGATGATGATGGGGATGACGATGAGGATGCCATCAACTCCGATCTGGACGATCCTGATGACCTGGCCGCAAACGAGGAGAATGGCGAGAATACGGATCAAGTCATGCTGTGTACCTACGATAAGGTCCAGCGTGTTAAGAATAAGTGGAAGTGTACCCTCAAAGACGGTATTTTGCGCGTCGAGGGTAATGAGTAAGTCCTGCCAGTTCCCCCCTGTTCTTCATTTCATTCCTAGCTTTCGGGGTGAGGCGGTGTTGCGATGCTGACTTGTTTCGGAAACAGGTACGTTTTCCACAAGGGCCAAGGCGAATTCGAATGGTAAGGACAGAGCGGACGACTTGAAGCATTGCTCCGTGAGCACCCCGCCGAGTCGAATGCAATCAAGCATTAAGACACCTTACTGCTTGCCAAAGCCTCTAAAACGCAAACAAATCCTCTTTCATCATACAATGGCAATGTGAATATGAAATAATGGCTGCACAATCCAGATCGGACAACAAAGCACCATATCAATCCGACTATGGGTCATGTCAGCCACATTTTTGTCAATTTTCTGATGACGCACGGCGTTCTCCCGAGTCTTGCTGGCATACCTGGAAATCGAGATCGACGCGATGCGGAACGAAATGGGCCCAAGTTCAGCGGGATGGGCAAGTGGCTGATGGACACCGTTACCATTTCTTGTTTCTGCTGCTCGTCGGAGTATTGGCTGTGCAGTGCTCTGCTGGGCGCTTTGAAGATTTGTTTCTCATTTTGACAGGTTGGGCCGGAAGGATGGCTTTTACTAAAATGAAGCTAAGGAGTCCGAAGATGAATGAGCCTATCTGCACATATTACGAGGGATGGGTAGTGAAAGCCAAAAGTCTCGTCTGGCAGTGACAGCTGGCATAATGGCCTCGGACGTAGAGCTACAGGATTGCTAGTTTCTGCAAAGCACAGAGAGCCGATTCCATTTTTCACGATTTAGGAACAAAAAAAGTCTCAATCTGTTTAAGACTATGCAATTCCACTAACTTGTGATATTCATGCCTAGTTCCTGGCACAAGTTTGATCGTCAAGCTGAAAGGAATGCGAACCTGGATTTGACTTTGTAAAATGATCACCGTAGTGCCTCTCTGTTTGCATTGAGGGCAAAACTGCGCTAACGTAGAAAACCGACCACCGTGGCCATTTCCTCGTCGGAACATGCAGCTCGGGTTGTGCAGTTATGACGCGTGACAGGAACAGTTCTTGAGTTGTCGCTGTAATAGCAGCTGACGACCACCTGCGCCTTGGGTCAACCAAGGTCACTCAGTGACGCAACAAAATCGGCCCACAGATTGTCGCCTGCAGACTCTGGCCTTTATTTATTGTCTGGGCCAACTTGAATTCATGTCCTCTCTGTTCCCCAAGCACTGCATCTAAATTGCCTGTGACTTTAATCTGTGTCTGCACCCTCTGCTCCTTGACATTGTCCTTCCAATCTCCCTGATTCTCTTGCCATTGAAGGCAGACCTCCCTGGATCGGACCTAAACCGCAAACATGACGCTCTACTACAGCCTGGTTGGTCAGCCCTCGTTCTTCTATCCTACCTGTGATACCGGATGGCTGCGACCTGTGACCACTGATGCTGACCTTCTAATGTAGGTTTTCGTGCTCCTGGTGGCGGAGATGGTCTTGTTTCTGGCCCTCATCGTCCCCATGCCATTCACAATCAAGCGAAAAATGTTCAACTTCATCTCTGAAAGTCCAATTGTGGCTAAGATCCAATATGGAATGAAGGTATGCTGCGAGTTCAGCAGAAACGACTTTATTTGACTGACAGTCCGCAAGATCACCTTCATCTTCATTCTCATCTTGTTCCTCGACAGTGTCAACAGAGTCTACCGTGTCCAGGTTGAAATGGCAGCTTTTTCGAAGGACACCTCTGGTGCAGGGTATGTCACATGACCGCACGTCGGCCTCCTCGACGATCATGACTGATCAAAAACAGGCGAGCGGCTGCAATGGGTTCGGAGCGGATGGAGGTCCAAGCCCGCAAGTTCTATTCTCAACGCAACATGTACCTGACCGGCTTCACCCTTTTCCTGTCCCTGATCCTCAACCGCACCTACGGCATGATCCTTGATGTCCTTCGCCTCGAGGAGAAGGTCAAGATGTACGAAGGAGACAAGCGCGCCGGTGGCAAAGAAGGAGAGAAACTCAGCGAAGAGTACCGGGCCGATCAGATTGGTGAACTCAAGAAGCAGCTCAACAAGAAGGATAAAGAACTGGAGGCAATGAAAAGCCAAGCGCAGGGTCTGCAAAGGGAATATGACGAACTGAGCGTCAAGTACAACCAACTGAACCCTAGCGGTGGCGACAAGAAGAGCAACTGAAGCACCAGCCAATGCACCACCCATCTGTCAAGCTCGACCCTAGCACGAAGATATTCCGGTGTTGTGCTTGGAAGCTAAAGCGTTTGCTTGCGGATGCAGGTCTCGAACTCGAATGGTTGTAGGGAAAGTACTGAGTAAAAATTGCTGGAAGGCGGCAAAGGAAGACAAACCATGGACGGGGCATTTCACCGGACCTGACAGGTGAGAAGGTTGGGTTGGATTATTATCTGCTGAAGGTGGTCATAGGAAAATAGATTTAACTGTTTGATGCGTACGCGGCCAGCACACTCATGGCGCTTTGGGTTCCATCAGCTCAAGCAGGATGCTTCTCGATTCAATCTTCTAGGTTGTTTTCGAGTTGTTTTCGAGAGTGGCCATCGGAGCAAGCGGTCCGTCAAAGAACATCTGCCGAGCGGAGTGGCCAAAGCGGCCCAGTTGCCCAGCCTCATACGGGGCTGCACGGCCTTGCCCTGCTTTTTTTGAATCCTCAATGACGGGGGTGGCTGATCCGAGAATGAGGAGATCAAAGTCTAAGAGTGTGGGGAAGCCAATGACGTCTATCCATTTTCCCTTGATCTCCATTTTTATGTGGCTTCTGTTTTGATATACGGCTAATATCAACTGCAGCTTGGGCAACTTGGGGTCACGCCCACAATGCCGTTTGCAACTCAATGCCGGTCACTGTCCGATGGCCACGGCATTCGCGGTGCCTCGTGCGACCGGAACAGAGCAGACCGACTTTACTCTGATGATGGAAAAAACTATATGTCTTCAAAAAACCACTTTTGGCTTCTTCAACCTCGCGAATCCCACACACACCCTCTGCCAGGGAAACTCGAGGTAAAATGCGTTTCCTATTCTTCATTGTCGCCCGGCTTTTAGCAAACTGCTCTGCCCACCCTCGGTACAATCCACAACCGTATCCACCTGTCGTCCGTCCTCGTCAAGCGTCCCCTGGGAACAGCTCCTCTCTCCAAATTGACCTTGGCTATGAGGTCTACGAGGGCTATACTAACTCGACAACGGGATTGAACGTGTGGAAAGGGTACACCTAAGCTGCTTCCCTTCTCAGAGAATCCCAGACTGATCATACCAAACTGGTCATAACCTTAGCATCCGGTTCGCAGCTCCTCCAACTGGCTCAAACAGATGGCAAGCTCCTCAAGCTCCTCAAACAAACCGCGATGCTGTGATCCAAGCAAACCATTTTGGACCCATATGCCCGCAAAACCAGGATACAACGAATACGTTGGTGGCCCTTAACAGTACAGGATCGAGCGAGGACTGTCTGTTTCTCAACGTATATGCACCACCCAACCCTCCCAGTCCGCTCCCAGTGCTTTTCTACATTCACGGCGGAGGGTATGGGAGAGGTAACGGTCAGCAGGACCTGTCGGCTATCATTAATGCTAACAATAACTCGTTCGTTGGTGTGACCATCCAGTACAGGGTAGCTCGTTCAACCTGTTCCCGTGGAGTCCAAACGCTGACCTGCCTCAGCTTGGTGCCTTTGGGTTTCTTGCCGGGGACGAAGTCTTTCGAAATGGAGTGGTCAACGCTGGCTTGCTAGACCAGTATCTTGCGCTTCAGTGGGCACAAAGATACATCTCTTTGTTCGGAGGCGATCCCAACCACGTGACAATCGCTGGGCAATCAGCAGGTAGGTTCCCATTGTCCGTGGTTTGATATTTCCCACACGAGGAATGCCCGGTTGCCTCCTTGTCTTAATGGAAATACATGCTAACGGATTTCGCAGGAGCTGGATCTGTCATGGTAAGTTATTCGCTCAGATGAGGAAGACAGCTGCTGCGCTTCCTTCGACAAAGGACCAGTTGTATTTGGGGAGATCAGCTGATACAGGACTTTTAGTTGCAAGACATGGCCTATGGTGGCTCCCAGGGCCAATCCCTTTTCAGAAATGTAAGAGCCTTGCTACATTTTGCGTCGTACACGATCTGACAGAGTCAGACGATCGCCTCCTCGCCATACCTACCCATGCAGTACGGATACAAGGACTGGCAGCCTTCTCAAGCATACTACGCCTTCGCTTCGATGGTCGGTTGTGCACCGACCTTGCCCTATGGTGCTCATCCAAATACAATCTTTGAATGTCTGGTTAGCCAAGATTCGGCTACATTGCAAAATGCTAGTGCTACCCTATCCGAGTCTGGCAAATATGGGACGTGGGCGTTCTTACCGGTAACGGACGGCATCTTTGTCCAAGATCTTCCCAGCCGCCAACTCTTGCGCAAAGAGCTTAATGGACTAAATCTACTGGTGAGCAATAACGCCCTTGAAGGACCGGCATATACGCAGCCCAACATTACGACAGAAGACGACCTGGTGGCGTGGCTACAGTTGACGTTTCCACTTTTCACAACCGATGATATTGCCAAAGTGCTCCTTTATTATCCCAGTGCGAACGACTCGACGAAGCCCACTGCCCCGTTGTATGCTTCGTCAGGTACCGGCTCACCCAGTTTCATCAACCAGAGTAGTGTTGCGACGGGGCAGCAGCAAAGAGCCTTTGTGAGTGTCCAAAGTGGAATCCGAGCATTATGGCGGCCACTGATTTGAAGTCAGGCCATTTATTCTGAGACAACCTTTGTATGCCCCTCGTATTGGATGGCAGAGGCCTACAGCGATCACGGACGCAATTCATTCAAGTATCAATATTCTGTGCCTATTGCTGTTCACGGGACCGACTTGACTGCTTACTTTGGACCTCCAACGCCGAATCAGAGCCCCGACTTCGTCAGTGCAGCTATGAAGATTTGGGGTAACTTCATCACCTCAGACAATCCGTCTATTCCCAATGCTGTTGCAAACGGGCTCTCGTCCAATAGTACCTTCAGCAACCCGGCTTCCGACTGGCCTCCGTTCAAGATGTACTCACCATATCAGATCAACCTCAACGTGACCGGGGGCACGCCGTTCCCGTTCAACTTGTCCTACATTAAAGCCAACTTGACCGAATATGGGGAACCGGGGCTGGTGAACAACTTCACCCTGGTCGATGCGTATACGTGGGAAGCTGGCCGAGGGTATCGCTGTGATATGTGGAGGAGTTTAGGATCTATCGTGCCCGAGTGACATACTGAGGGTTATGGATAGTCTCACACGGAAAGAGGGAAAGGTGGTACAGAGTACATAGCCGCAAACGGGCTTCACGGCAGAGCAGCCTTTGCCCATTCAGGCAGCCCTCAAGCTCCGCTCGCTCATCGCACATCTGCTAGCCGTCGTAATACAGGTTCTGGCCGATGTCCACGTCGGTCAGTAATCGAGACATGGATATTGTGCCAGTTTTGGTTAACTGGCGGGCTTTCAAATGTCTCGGTCTCCATTCGATGGCCGACCTCATACACGTGCTGCCAGGCTTGTCAAAGTGTGGCTGCCCGGCAATATCTGGCTTGTGCTGCAGCTAGTAAGTAGTAGTAACTACTGCATGCTTCCTTCGATCCAACTTTCTTTCCTTCCTGCGACTTACCTCTTCCGATCCTTGTTCCACGCAAAGCTCCAAAGTGTCAACCAGTGCCGTCATTACTCCAACATGCTTCTGTCCGACCTGACTACGATCAGATAGGCAGTCTTAGCACAGAGCCAAGGCAAATCCGTGTGCAGCCGACCCAGAATCTGCCTCGAGCGTGGTTTTCCCGGCCAGCTCATGTCCGCAGCCTCGTCATCGATTGGTTCATTTCTCCTGCCAAATATGCACCCGGAAGCTTGTCCTTGAGCCTGATTCTCCATGGTTGCCTGACAAATAGCATCTTCGAGGATCACCAGTATTGAGGAAGCGTGGGATGCCAGGGTCGACGCCTTTCGTCAGTGGGAATTGGAGATCCCAGAGCTTGCAAGCTCTGAGCTCCCTTCAAAAGAGCTTGCCATCCCCCCAGGTAAGACAGAAGGGAAAAAAAGGTGAGCTGCAATTCTCTGTCTCTCTTCCAAGAGCTCTACTGCAAAATGTTGCAACTACTTGTGTTTGCCACATTCATTGGTGCTACGTTAGCTAGCTACGGAGCGAATCTGAACTACCGCTCCCCTTCTCTTCATCACCCTGCTCTTGGAATCTCGGTGCGGAAGGTCGTGAAGCGCCATATTGAGAGACAGGCTACGCCAGCCTCCCAGCTCAACTTCACCCATGGAGTTGCGTCTGGTGACCCCTACCCAAACAGCGTGATTCTGTGGACACGATGTGCTCCTAGCTCGGACGACGTCAAGAGCAATAGCTCTACCAGCGGTGTCGTGCCGCTTTACAATCCAGTCCCGATCTACAACGATACCGATGAGGGAAAACCGCCATCCACCTCTCCCGTCTGCCTGACCTGGAAGATTGCTAGTGACAAGGCGTTGTCATCTGTGGTCGACCGGGGAACCGTATACACAAGCTCAGACGTCGACTACACTGTTAAAGTCGAGGCTTCAAACCTGCAGCCTTTCACCCAATACTACTATCAATTCACCATCTGCAACAGCAGTGTTTCTAGCATGGTCGGCAGGACCAAGACTACTCCCATGGCCGCTGACAATGTGACTGGAGTTAACCTGGCCGTCTACTCCTGCAGCAATTTCCCCTTCGGTTTCTTCAACGCATACGGTAACCCTGTCCGCAAAGATTCTGTAGACTATGTTCTCCATCTCGGCGACTATATCTACGAGTATGCCAACGGTGAGTATGGTTGGGGTCAGACCATTGGTCGTGTCCCCTTACCGGATAGACAGATATTTACTCTCTACGATTACCGCAAGCGGTGAGTAGATCTTGTCCCCTTCATCTGTCGAACTCTGTGATGCAATCGATGGTACTGACACTGCTCGTGCTTTAGTCATGCCACCTACAAGACTGATCTGGATCTGATTGCCAGTCACGCGAACTTTCCCTGGATCGCCGTTTGGGATGACCATGAGGTTGCCGACAACACCTACCGTGATGGCTCCTCGGAGCTCAACAACACCGAGGCGTCCTTTATTGAAGATGGAGGCGTCTCTGTGGACCAAAGAAAGATGAACGCTGTTCGAGCATATTTTGAATGGATGCCTATCAGACAAGTCGAGATGGGTGATGACGTAAGAAAACATGGCCCAGGAGAAGTTCGTTCTGACACTCGATTTAGCTTCGAATTTGGCGATCGTTTTCCATTGGCAACCTCTTCGACCTCATTATGCTCGATACTCGCCAGTATGATCGCTCCATAACCGACCTGTATTGGAACACAGACTATGTCCACGAAATATCCAACGATGCCGGTCGCTCCATGATGGGATCTCGCCAGGAAAATTGGTTCTACCAATCCCTTATCAACTCAAAGAACCGCGGTGCCACGTGGCGCGTGATTGGATCCCAGACGGTCTTCAGTCGCGTGAACGAATCCGTCGCGTACGGAAATGTCAATCCCCTCGACTATGATGCGTGGGACGGGTATCTCGGGAACCGTAACCGTACTTTGCAGACGTTGTATAGCAACAACATCACCAACAATATCATGATCTCAGGAGACAGTCACGCAAACTGGGTTTCCGACCTTGTTTGGTTGGACACTCATCCTTATGACCCCGCGACCGGCGCAGGGGCCATCGGTGTTGAGTTTGGCGGCACAGCCGTTTCGTCCCCTTCGCCTTATGGCGCAAACATCTCCATTGCGCGCAGCGTCCAAGCCAGCCAGTGGCTCGTAGATGCCAACCGCGAACTGCAATGGCAAGAGATCTACTACCGAGGTTACTATGAACTGCACATCACGCAAGAGCAGGTTAACGCATACTACTTTGGCATGCCCACGGTGGTCACCCGCAACCCGAACGAGATCTCTCTGGCCAATTTTACCGTCGTCAACGGCGAGAACAGGCTTCATCGCTTCAATGGGACAGTGGTGTCCGGTCCTGTGGAGAACGGCTTTGTCAAGTTTGGACACACCAAGCAGACAAATATCACAAATGCGACAGACACGGGACTGTACTTTATCAGCCACGCGGGACTGGAAGTACTTTGAGGGATTGCTTTGATCCAACCGAAAGGTAGTGAGGTGATGACACGTCCATGAGCGGGCGGTGGTCGACAAGAGGAAAACACCTTGCTATACGTATAAGTAATAACGATTCTGGGGCGATATAATAGCTTGGGGTCATTGAAACCACCAATTCGCCATATACTTCGTCTCACATGAGCGGCCTTTGCTACTACCGTGTCCTTGCTAGACTCTTTCTTGGTAAGGAACTGAATCCTTTTCTAGCCGCCGGACGCACTCGCAGTCGGTAAACATCGTTCAAGTGACTACCGAGTACCAAGGACAGAGTCAGACAGACCGTGAGGCTGAATCCGAGTCTAAATCCCGCCTTGTTTTCCTTCCTACTCTGTGCCTACCGGATGTCCACTGTCGTGCTGCGGGTAGGCAGGATTAATCAAGCACCTCGTACTTTGTACTACTAAAGGGCTTGAGATAGCCTCACAAGGCTGACTGACATGTACGTTGGCACCGTGGCTTACCAATGTACACTTAGGCGGACGCCGCCCAATCAGAGCGACCAGACGACAGAAGAAAATACGGGGCTTGATCCGCTAGGTCGCTCAGGATGAGCACCGCCACCGATTAGTATCACTACTTGGAGGGATCAGAGCTGACCATGGGTGGCACCATGTATTATGTGTAACGATCTACCGGATTGCCTCGTCTATGATCTACACCACCACCACCACCACCACCACCACCACCACCACCACCACCACGACGATAGAAACGAAAGGGCGAGCTTTTGACTTTGGGCCTTTGAGTTTCGAGTGTTTTGAGTTTGGGCAATTCTGCCCTGCCCTGCGCTGAGGTCAGTTGGGCTGGGGAAGGTAGATCGTGAGAGCGCTCCGACCAAGTCTGGCTGAACTCTGGCTGTGAGTTTCTTGCAGACCGGGGAGGCTAGACAGAGTGAGCAGTGCGGAGAGCAAAGGTTCAAAAGCGCAAAGGCAAGCTCGTTTCCACGACGTCGAAAACCCCGTCCACTGTCAAAAAAAAACGAAGGCGAGGAGACTCAGAACGTTAGAGGGTCATCAAGTCACTAAGCCAGCGAGTGAACGATCACACACAAGAAAAAGCAGACACGCAGACAAAGGGGCAAATAATCGGACCGTCACACGAACAAACAAACCAACAACGATCAATCTGACGAAGGAACCTCTTGAGAGAGGAGGATTCTGTCAGCTTTTCACTGTTGCCTTTCCGCGGACACACTGAGTCGCTCACCGGGTGACAGAATCCCTTATTCCACTCACTCACGTACTCTCTCATTCACTTATTCGCTGGTTCTTTTTTTCTAGGAGAGGAATAGTTCTTTCCTGTCTCCATTTTATACTTCCTCTTTCTTTTCTTCTCTCTCTCCTCCTCTTTTAAGACCTTAATCACAAGTTGCATTCAAGTAAACGCCTTTGGACCTTTGTTCTTTCTTGGAAACGAGGATACGAGAAAAAAGCGCAAAGGGAACGGGAAAAGGAAAAAGAGGACTTTCTCAGATCTGCGATCACACAGATCCATCTCTTCATTCAACGACAACGACAACAGGCGCGGGAGATTTTCAGCCTATCTCAGCACCGGCGCACGCATTCGCCATACGGGACAGAAAAATATTATATCATACCGCGACAACCAGTGGGTGACCATGCCCTCCCCATCCGGCCTGCTCGCCTCCTGCGTTCCCTGCGTTGGTGTTGCCGTGTTCGTCCTCCACGCCGATCCCAGCGACGACACCTCCTCCACGGTGGATGCTTCCACCGTCCCATCCGACTCCCGGCGGTCCCAACGACCTAAATTCCTGCTGGGTCAGCGTCTGGGCTCGCACGGCGCAGGGACCTGGGCGTTGCCTGGTGGCCATCTGGAATTTGGCGAGTCCTTTGAGGAGTGCGCTGCTCGCGAAGTACGTGAGGAGACAGGGCTCGAAGTGGAAGAGGTCCAATTTCTCACCGCGACGAATGATCTGATGCCGTTTGAATCGTCCCCGACAACAGACCAAGGGAAGGAAGGAAGCGTCACGGGGAAGCATTATGTGACCATCTTCATGACTGCGCGAGTCAAGGCCAACGACGATCAGACAGAGAGCAAGGCGATGCCGGATGCGAAACTGCTCGAGCCAGAGAAATGTGCTGGGTGGCATTGGGTGTCATGGGACGACTTGGAGCAATGGGCGAGACCACAGCTTGCGAAGCTCGACTGTGAAGAGATCACCGCAGAACGAGCAAAGCCACGATCGAGAGGGGAGGGAGAAGCAGGAAATCGACAGAGCACCCATTCGGCAGAGGAGAAGAGCCAAACAGGTGTGGAAACGGATGGTTCTGCAGCTGACGGCGTCGCCCGCACATTATTTTCTCCCATGATCTCGCTTCTGGTCCAGCGGCCTGAGGCGATTCCTGGTCAGAATTGAAAACGCTTGCATCGCCCACGGCTGGCTCTATGCAAGATAACGCTTGATGGAATTTCCTTCCCCATGCCCGAACCCCAGAAAAGTGAACATGAGATGCAAGAAATCCTTGCTGTCCGTGCAACACAACGAAAAAAGCCTGCGTAAGGG